AAAAAACCCCCCACCACCCCCCCCCCCCCCCCCTTACCTCCTTCCCCGCTCCCTCCCTCCCTCCTCCATCCATCTCTCCCAACCAAAGAGAAAATTCAGCGCCTGGGAATATCCCCCACCCCTCCCCTCCCTCACCCCTTTAAATAAATCGCTGGCTCCTCTAACCTCGCACAACCCCCCCCCCCCCCTCAAAGGCAGCCTAGAGGTGTGGATTTAAACCCAGTTCTATATTTGCTAGTGCTCACGGAGGCCTTTTATTGGGGGGGGATAAGGGGGAATCCCCCCTAAATGGACTTGCCTCATGGGTATAGCCTGGGGAAAAATAAAAAAAAAAAATTAAAAAAGGGATGAAACGCTGCGGAGCGGGTCTGAAACCCAGCGAAGGTGGACCTCAGGGTGCGTGCGTGGGGTTGTGGCCCTTGTCCCCGCTGCTAGAGATATCCAAGAGCCTTCCTCCGCCTTTCCTCCCCATCCTCTTCCTCAGCCCGGCCGGCGGCTCGGCTGCCCCGTGGCCCCCACCGGCACGGCCGAGGGCCGCAGCCCCCCGGAGTTCTTTGCAATGCTCAAATAATCAAACCGTCAGCGAGGAGCGGGGATGTAGGGTTTATCTGCATCTTCCTCCGCTCCCTCTCGCTCCCCCCTTTTTTTTTTTAATGTATTATTTGGAGGGTAAAGTTGAATAGGTCAGCGCAGGGTAAACAGCCTCCCTGTCGCATTCTGCAGGCTGAAGAGAACCAGATTGGCGAGGCGGATTTTTGATAAGACTCGGAATAAATGGCATGGTTTAGATCTGCTCTGCCCACCCTCCTCCTCCTCCTGCCCCCACCCTCTTCTCGGCGGTGCGTCCCGTCCCCGTCGCCCCCCCCCCCCAAATCCTTCACTCTTTTCTGCCTCTCGGTCATTTCTTTTGCAATTTCGCGGAAGTTTTCAGCAAATCCACCCTCGCTCCCAGCTCTCGCAGGGCGCGATAACACCGGAGCCCTCTGAAAGTTTGAGGTGAGGAAGGGAAAAGTCTGGGGGTGAGCGGCTATTGGGGGGGGGGACGACCTGGGGGGTGTAATTTGGCATCTCCCAAACCCTTTCCATGTGCGCGCCAGCTCAGCTCCTCGAGAAGAAACAGCCAACAGAAAACGGTTGCAAATAAGAGTAATAAAATAACTGCACTTGTAGCCGCAGAGAATAAGCCAGAGAACGCTACTTAAACAAACAGAACAAAGCTTGTCCCATATTTCATTATTTTTAGAGGGGAAAGGAGCCGTGGAGCCCTTCCAAACACAAATAAACGAGCGAGCGAACCGGGCGGTTCTTCCCCCCGCGGGGAAGGCGGGCGGCGGCCCCGGCCCCGGCTCCGGCCTCGGGGCGAGCGGGCGGCTCCGGTAAAGCCCTTCCCGGGAGCTGCTCTGAAAGGTGCAAATCGAGGGGGGGGGAATAAAAAAAAAAAACAGGAAAAAAAAAGGGGAAAAAAATAAAGCAGGCGATGATCGGGCTGCGGGAAAGCCCGGGCCAGGACCGCCGTGCGCGGCCGCGGTGGCCGCAGCCGCTCCGCACCTCGGGAGCATCCCCCGAGGCATTCAAGAAGAAACGGGTTTTTCCCTTAAAAAAGGAAATGAAAGCAGCGAGGGGAAAGGTTTCTCGCAGCTGCTAGCGAGAGAGAACACGAGCTTCCCTGCCCTCGGCGGATAGAAAGGCAAAAGTGAAAATCTCTGAAGTTTGGAAGAGCGAACCCGAGCACGGCCGCTGCCTGGGAAAGCACTCACCTCTCCAATGCCAAACTAGCTCTCAAACACCTTGAAGACAAGTTGAAAACGATGCAAATAAATCGAATTTATTTCCGTCTGCAGGTTGGGGGGGGGGGGGGAAAAAGAAAAAAGGGGGGGGGAAAAAAAAAAAAAAAGCAGCTGGGAAAAGGACGGCAAGTCCAGGCTCTCTAGGACTGTAATGTCAAGGCGAAGGAGCCTTCCAGCTAGGAGCCGATTTGTGGTCTCAGACAAATTAAATATTACTGTTTATTACCAGCCATACTCCAATAAAATAAAGAGAGTTCAAGGCGATAGCTGCTATCTCACGAGCTTTGCTCCTATAGGACACGGAGACGTCACCAACCACGCAACTGGCCTATTCTGTCATGGTTGACTGCAGCAGTAATGGAAGGTTAATTTGTATTATTCTCCTCTTTTTAAAGCTCTATCAGTGAGATTCCTGCTTTTTTTTTCCCCAAAGAAATCCATTCGGTGCAATGCAAAATACAGGGAGGCTGTATGTGTGCAACCTCCACATAGAGATGCGTGTGTGGATAGATACCCATAAATATATATATTCATACACCGAGACGCACAATGCATATGGATATATGCGGGTGTGAGGGGGTACATATCACGTATGACTGTGTATCACCCAAGCAGGCACGGAGACGCTGGAAACTCGAGGAAAACCCGCTCTTTCTTGGAATGGAAAAGGGGGAAACCAGTAGCAAAGCTCCCCCTTCACCAGGAGCAGCCCAGTTAATCCAACGGTATTGGTATTATTCAGCTTAATTTTTTTTTTTTAAATAATGCTATTAGAGCGAGCAGGAAACTTGTCAAATGAATGGTCAGGCGCCTCTGAAAGCAAGCACGCTGGGCTATATATAGTAAATGATAACCTGGTTATTTGCACAGATTCAAGTGTGCTTCGGGAACCAATTATTTGCTCTGATTAAAAAAAAAAAAAAAGAAAGAAAGTAGTAAATCGAGGCGATTATTTGCCAAATGAGATTGACAAGAGAAGAAAAAAAAACAAACGCACCCAAACCCCCCAAAATCCCTCCAAGTGCAGTCAGTGGCTGCAGAGAAGGCGCCGGCGCTTCCCTGCATCCCAGCTCTCCCTTAACCTGGAGGGATTTTGGGATGCACTCGCGGCCGCCACAGAAAGATTCCCCCCCCCCAAAAAAAAAAAAAAAAGATGCTAAAACGTTGTTTCCTCCAACAGAAAAAGAGAGGAGGAGGAAGAGGAGGAGGAGAAATAGGGAGAAAGAAGATAAAGAGCAACACCTAAGGAAGAGCAAGAAGTTCCTGCAGGAGCTGGACACTGCCGAGGGTGAGTGTTCCCAGGCAGGGACCCCCAGCCCGGCTCCAGCCGGCAAAATCCTGCCTGGATTTACCCGCTTTCCCCAGGCTGGGCTCTCCCCCCCACCACCGAGCTCTGCAGACCCCCGGGGGAAGCCAGGCCCTTAGCAAAAAGCACCAGCAAGGATGGGGGG